TATGCGCTATTAGTAAACATTATTTACTATTTACATTATTCACTTTACTAGTGATGGGAGATAACGAATAAAAGATCTCCTACATTCTAATCCTGCACGTCAGCATCGAATCTACAGTTTGCTCGGCTGTTTCTGCAAAAGCAATTTTCAGATATTGTCGGTTATCTCACCTGCTGCGGAAACAATTTTTGAGTAGATGGAGTCACAGTCACACTGGAATTTTCCTTTAAGGCCCAATTAAGCACAGTCTCACTTCCATACAGTTATGCTGAACTTCAGAGTTACGCAACTCCGACAGGCCAATTTACCCGCCCTGCAGGCACCAGAAGATCTCCGTGCATATCGAAGTCTAGCATTTAATTCGACTCGCTGCCTCGGATGGCATTGTGACAGATACAAATAACTGCACGGGGGGAAGAAAAATGCGTGTATAAAAGAAACATCTAATAACTACTGTTGAGATAATTTGCTTCATCAGGGGGACTTTGTGACGGAAAGTGTGCCGAGTCATCACGGGATTAGTTCGCTGCCTGAGTGAAAGACCGTCAGAGGAGAGGCATTTTCTGCACACTTTGAGACGAATTTAAACGGCTGTTATTTACACAAAGGGGGTGATATCATGACACCGACGCTATGAAGTCACAACTTATCCAGATTAACTCATTTGTCATACAACAAAAGACAGTGGTGCTTCAACGCAGACTAGAAATTTGCATGTCCTCATAACTCACATCTTGTGCCTCAAAGGAGAACGGAGCAGAATCCACTTAAGAAATCATTACTAATTCATAAGTTTCTCTACTGAAACGTATCTCATTACTGCTTTCTTTTGTCTCGCTGCTGCTCTGAAATAAGGCAAATGGGAAATCATCAAGTAGATTATTGCTGCTCACGCTATACTAACAACAGGAATAAATGTTTAAAGGAGTGTAGATTGCGGCGGAAAGTGTTTTCTCGTAGGTGTTTGCATGAGCTCAAGCAAGTTTGTGGTTCAGAAAGACGTCTGGTGGAGATAGTAGAGACCCGTCGTGTTTTGGACTTTTATTGTGAAAACATAAAAATTCACAGTTAATAGTTGTAGAAATGTGAAAATTATTTTTTATAAAACATTTTGACTAGACACAGAAAAAATACACATATATAAAAAAAGACGTTTTGTTGTTTGTAAAAAATACACTTTGATAGATTATTTTGGGATCACAGTATGAATAAGGTTGTTCTACATACAGTAAAGTCTTTAAGGTCACAGTGAGAGTTCCCTGTTCGGGCAGCTGTCAGCGCTTCAAAGGGGTTAAATGGCTCATTTACAGTAAGCGGTTCTTCCTAAGAATTACACAGTTCAGTCAGAAAAACATTCACTGATATTCAAAGACTGAATACACAGAAAGTGCACATTGGTGAGCTGCTCATCCTCATGGCGTGTCTGTGGACCAATCACCTTCAGAGACAGATAATTACAGCTTCTGCTGAGATCTGGGAGCACAGTAACGTCACAAAAAAAGAGGCCTGAAAGGGCAAGAGACCTGTCGGACTATAAAGCAGTCTGAAATAGCCAGATTTATTTGGGAAAGGCAACTGTTCTAATTTACCTAAAGTCCATCCATCCATTTTCGATACACCTTAATCCTCACTAGGGTCGTGGGGGGCTGGAGTCTATCCCAGCTGACTCAGGGTGAAGGCAGGAGACACCTGGACAGGTCACCAGTCTATCACAGGCAACCAAGCACACTCACATTCACACCTACGGACAATTTAACATGTTTTTGGACTTGTGGGAGGAAGCTGGAGAACCCGGAGAGAACCCACGCTGCACGGGGAGAACATGCAAACTCCACGCAGAAAGGTCCCGGGTGTCCTCACTGGGACGCGAACCGGCGACCTTCTTGCTGCGAGGCAACGGTGCTAGCCACCGCTCCACCTTGCAGACCTAATTTACTTAAAGTGTGACAAAATAATCTAAGCCGTGGACGTCTTACTTGCTTTTTCCAGAGATTTCGATTGTAGTGACAAGTGGACAAAGTCAGAGTGATGAAAACTTGCAATAAAACGAGTAACATTGTGTGTGTTTGTTTTTTTTCTGCCAAATTAGGTTCCAAAGGCCAACGGAAAACTGTCCTACTCATTAGCCAACAGCAGTAAGCTGTGGTGCACTAACTTCTTGATATTGATTTATCCAAACCTGCTTCATCTTGTTGTACGTGCATGCTGTTCATTGCATCGTAACGTATTAAATGTTTTTCTCAGTGTCGTCAATGTTCAAATAAAAAAACGGGAACGTGCCAGAAAAGGCCGCAACAAGAGAAACACCTCCAACACTTGACCGAGGTGGAAAAGTTAATAAAAGCACTCACAGACTTGCAGACTTTGAGGCTCGTTCCCGCTAAATGCATGAGTTCTTACGGCTGATCCGCTGTGAAAATGTCAAGGGCATGAGGGCTCTCTCTGTGAGCCGCAGTGTAAGTCTGAATTTCTGTCGAATTTGCCTGGAAGAATTAGCAGCGGCTACAAGGGGAAGCATTAAAAAAAGTTATTCAAACAAGCGTGGACGGAGCAACCACGAAGTTTACATGCGATTCTAAACACATTGGTGATTCTCAGCTACAGCTGTGTGTGGTTGTTTGTCCTTTGATGGCACAATGATGAATTTCAAACATGTTTTTTTTTCTCTAAGTGCCTTGAACGCGCCGTCTTGTTGTTGTTTACAACATTTCGAGTCCTTGAAATCTCTTGCAATCGTTCACCAGGTGACAGTGAAGTCGGTGAGGGTTCATCGCTTATCTGCGAGGGTGGAGATCGAATCATAGTCTTTATTGCACTGTCTTCTTTTGTTATGGCACTTGACTGGAGAATTGGCTCCACCAGCTGTTCGTTTTGACGTGTCCACCTTGCACAGCATCTCCCAGTAAAGTGGTTTACTCTGTTTGGATTAGAACTCAAGTTTCTTGCCCAATTTGACTTCTTTCTGCTGTTACGATCCCAGCAGCTGCTTTGGTAAGTGTGCTGTTAGCTTGTTATGGAAATGATGGCCAAAACTTTTTTAAAAAAGTGGAACCCAAGTTAGAAAAAAAATGGAATTATCCTGTTAAGTTTAGTCGTCTCTGTTTTCATTTGGAAAGATCCAGAGCACCAGCTGCACAGTTCTGTTGTAAGAGCTTCATCACATTCGCTGTTTTTAAGGCTGAAGGTTCAGTGGGTCTTGAGGGCAAATTTTCAGTGCAAAGCTTACGTCTCCTCATGGTCAGTATCCAGCTGACATCCCAAACTTCCTGCTGTCTGATACGGCCGTAATGCAGCTGTTCTCCTTTTCCACAGCGTTGACAACATTGAAAAAGTATTTCCAGTTCCCAACGTCGTGTCCAAGACCTTTGAGGCCATCGACCACACACTGAGGGTACACAACACACACACAAGTTAATACCAGACGTCCAACGTGATTGCAGGTGAATTAAATCTGACTTTGCGGGATTACGTGCTGATAATCTCCATCCAAATCCATCAAATAAATAGAAATGGTCATAGACAGTGATGGACCGTGAGGATGAAAACACTTCACCTTGTCAAAATGATCTTCCAAATACACATTGTTCTTGGAGTCAACGAACACTATAGGAGCAGCGATGGCGTCTTTCAAGTTCATCCCGAGCCACAGGCGATTTATAATAGACTGAAACAATAAAAGAGGATCGTGTGAGCAAGCAAGCAAAGACGCAGACAAACGAGGAAGCAACCGGAGTTTGATTTCTGAGTTACCAAGGCCACTCCTGCGGTAATCATGCTTCCTCCCGATCCACCAATCGCAAGGACCCCTCCAGACTTTGTCTCGAGTATGACCGGAGCCATCGAGGAGGGTGGCTGTTCCCCTACACCAGACAACAATCACACTCAGACTGAATTACTACATTAGGGAATGCTTTTAATTCGATTGCGGCAGGTTGAAAGGCTGTGTTCATGTCTGCGACCCTACCTGCCCTCACTGTGGTCGCCCTATTGCAAAAGTCAGCCAGCTCGTTGTTGAGGATGATGCCCGTCCTTGAGGAGTAAACGGCTCCTCCAAACCTGCAGAGCAAAAACAGTCGACTGAGGGGATGGAGGCACGTTATACTGGAATATGATAGCGTATTAAAAAAAAAACACTGCAGATTCACAAATGTTCTTTGATCCCTGCTCACAGTTGGTTGATGGTGCTGGTGGCAGAAACAACCAGACCGTCTTCATCCAGGACGGACACGTGAGTCGTCCCGAAGTGATCCTGAGAAGGCCTGACGTTGTCGTAGTAGGAGATGTTATGGGTGCGGTCTGAAGAAATCATCTTCTTGATTTGATTAATGAACGACGGATCAATCAAGTGATCTGCGCTCTGGAAGAAAGAACATCACGAGACATCTCTGAAACACCCAAACTGGTGTCACGTGTGAACTCTGTCCGAGATCGCTCGTCTTCTTCTCCTCCTCATTTTTAGGGGATTTGTTTTGCCTGTTTAGGTTTTATTCCTTAACAGAATGAATCAATGAAGTATATCAGGCAGGACAGCGGTTTTATCTGATTCCAGTTTGGGTGATAAGTGAGGTGATGACCCAACAGATTGTAAACCCGACATTAACACACCTGATAAAACTGATAATGTGTTTGCTATGAGTTTATAGACATGCAGCGACAGTGATGCTGAGTCATGTTTCCGTCCACCTGCTGAATGTCAACACTCTCCTTTTAACTCTGTTTTGCCCTCCACCCTCAGAGTTTATGATTATCCATTTAATTAATTGCTTTAGAGTGTCATTGATCCAAGGAAAGGAACACTTTTATTTTAACACTCATTAAATTTTTGACTGGTAATTTCCACGTCATTGTCTGACAGCAATGTGTCCCATTCTATGTCTCTTATTGCAGAGCTGAACTGTTCCTGTTTGCTTTTTGGGATGCCTATGAACTCCCTTTTCCCACAGTGTGCTGAGAATCTTTTTTTTGTTAGTTTCCTTGATATTAGCACCATATTGTGATCTGAGAATCCAGTGAACATATTAAACGTTCATATTATTATTAGTAACATTTGTTGTTTCAATTGTGTTGTGTAAAAAAACAAAGATTTGACTTCTTAATTTGGTCTTGTTGCTGTTTGATGCTGGCCAAGTAGAGTTCAGCAGATATTTTTCTATAAAAACAGCTGCCTACTGTGTCTGAAAACAAGGTTGATGATAATAGTTAATGTACAAAACAAGTATGGACCAAAACAATGAGCAGAAAGAAGCCAAAACCCTCAACAGAAGTGCATAATTGTGCAGTGTGATAACTGCCTGTACGTTCATCATAATCAGCTTTTTTGATCTTTTGAACACATTAACTTGTCGTCCCTGTAAGATATGTTACTAGTACTACTAATAAAAAAATATTTTACCTTCTTGTTATCAAAGTCAGGGTCATGAATGTTCCTCTTTTGTCCGTTAGCAAATTTAGCTGCCTCTACATAATGATGGTACGTCTGAATCTTCTTGTCGCCAACCAGAGACTGTGGAGTCAACGAGAACTCTGCAGGAAAACAGGACAAACTTTTAACTATTCTGCAAAGCATTGAGTTTTTTTTCTTCTTCTTTAGATATTGACAATATGCAAATCATCAAATAGGGATGCACAAAACCTTTCATGATTCTGAGGATGAAGGCGAGCAGCGGGCCCCCTGAGGGAGGCGGAGGGATGTACATCTGAGCGTCTCCCAGAGGAACCACCCAGGCATCGCTAACCTTCACCTGGAAGGACTTCAGGTCCTCCATTGTCAACGTCCCACCTAAGAAAAGCAGCAGATAAAAAGTTTGCTTGCCTTAAAATATATTTGCCTTTCTATTTTTTTCTCTTTTTTTTTTTTTTTTTACATTGAATACAAATAGTTTTCTACCTTTTCTTTTTTGTGTCTATTCAAGTGTAACACCCCCAGCTTGCCTCTTGACATTGTACCAACCTGCAGCTTTTATGTCTTGGATTAAGTCGTGTCCTATCTTGCCAGTGTAGAAGGCTTGTGCCCCTTGCTTTGCAATGGTTTCCATGGTTTCTGCAAGTTGAGGAAACTTCAGGACGTCTCCTGCGCTCAGAACGGTTTTGTTCTTGTTGCAAAAAATTTCACTGGAAAAAACACACACAAGGACACACTAAGCAAAAAGGGGAGGAGAGAGGGAGAGACCTGTCAAATCAAACATCAAAGCATAAACTGACCTAAGGTCAAAGCACTTCACACCACACATGCTAAAAATACAGCCGAGCTGAAGCAGTTCTTCAAGGAGGAATGGAACAAAATTCCTCCTGAATGTTGTGCAGGTCGGATCTGCAGCTACAAACAGGGTTTTTTGAGAATGTTGATGTTGGTAAAGCATGTGAAGGGTTTGCATGCTTTTTATTACCACTGTAGCTATAAACAAAATATATGAAAAAAAATATGCATACTGTTGTTTTGTTGATTTGTGACATTTCTGGGCTCCTATAAAAAATTATAATAAATTTGTCTTTGGTGATTTTATGAATCGATTTGTTCATTTTGTGTTTTATTTGCTATTGTGTTTATTTTGTTTGATATTAAATTGCCCCTAGAGGATAAATAAAGTTATTTGAATTGGATTGAATTGGATTTAGCTGCATTAAATGCCATAACCTGAAGCCTTTCATAACCTGATTCTTCTGCTTTTGTCTTCTGCTGTATTCTACAAACTTTCCAGCATCAGATGTGTCCTGGAAAAAAAAATCCCTTTGGATGTAAGTCACTGAAAAGACATCACTTTTATTTATGTGTCCCAAATGCCCTCACCATTGTAATGAATTATGAAAAGTTATCATCAATGTCCATTCTCTAGGACCAGTAAGGTCATGAGTCCAGGGAGACAAGAGCATCTCTGGATCCTTTCTTTGCTCATCAGTCATCAGGACAAGCAGCAGATGTGGCCCTCGATCTCTTTAGAATATACAAATGGCACCACTGTCCAGACAGCGTGAAATTTATACCCTCGAACAGCCCCGCTCATAACGGCACAATGTATGCCGGGCAAAGCCAAACGCCAGATGACCGTCTCCTGACCCCCTCAGTTCCTCAATCATTACTGTGAATCCTGCAAAGGAAATGTGATTCACAAACCTTAGAGCCACATCAAAAGAGACTGGGGATAACATTCAACCAAAACAAGACTTATTCATGGACTCTTGTCCTGGAGCTGAGCGTGTCTCAGACTCACAAACTCAGACCACCACCAGAAGGACAAAAGGACGCTCACAAACAATTTCCTGCTTTCCTCTGCTCGCCCTTATTGCTGCCAACTGTCTCAACAATCTACACCTAAATCAAAATAATCCCTCTTCTGATCATCAGCATCTGCTTTGAAATAGCTGAATTTTGTTTGATTGTTCTTCAGCATCGTTTTTATCGTCTGGCTCCCAGGAGTCCTGTTGCGGTTCATAGTTGGACAACTTGCCATGAAATAAGTGCAAAGTGTCACTCTGAAAAGCCTCTGACAGCGAAATTAACCTACGCTGGTCCCCAGGGTGAAGAAAGGTCCACTTATCAGATTACTTCCTCAGCGATAAACATGCAAAAAAACCAAACATTCGTGCACACGCTTTTGCAGAAACATCCGAGAACCACATGCACTTTTTCAGGCTTTTCACACCACACTTAACCCCCCGAATAACCCCTTTTTAAAACTTGGATCTGGGAAAAATCAACATTTCACACAAACATTTATGAGAGAAAGCGAACCCCACTCTTGTCTCTGGGCCAGAACACTCTGCTCCCGAAGTGTCACGCTCAGAACAACAGCCTATTAGAATTCATCATTCTCACTCGGAGCAAGAAGCAACCAGGAGAAACTATTATGTAACGTGTAAAGGTATATTTTAGGTCAATTGTTAACCAAGGCGTTACATAAAACTGGCAATAAATTAGTCTAACTGATCTAAGCGGCCTTTGTTTTAACTTCTGAAGTGACATATGCAGGAAAAAAGGCAATTCTTCAAGTCATATCTTTCTGTCACTCAGCAGTGTGTGTGCTGTACCAGAGGGCTGACTTTTCCACGTGTGCTTTCACCATGTCGAAGGACAGGGCTCTTCCCAGAAAGGCTGGCACAGGGAAGCCCTCCCTGGCCAGTCGGATAGTTGGCTCGAACAGCTTGGCCCAGGGCAGCTTCCCGTACTGTTTGTGAAGTTCCTCGTAGCCCCGCAGCTCTCCAGGAACGCCGATCCACTGGCTGCCTGCAGAGTTGTGACATTCGTTTTTCAGTTCAATAAAACTGATCACATATGCAGAATGTTTATTGCTAGAGAGCAAAATGTGACCTTACCAATAAAACAAAAGCACTATGTTTCATAAATGGTGAACCACACACCTGAAGAGCCTCTATGGCCATGAAGTGTTTTCATAACAAGTCCATGCAATTAGCTGAGCATTTCCACTTTAACAACTGCAGCACAGTGATGACTGTCTCAAAAACACTGATTCAGACTTTCAGAGTTTCATAAGCGACAAAAATAAAGAACCAATCAATCGGCTCGCAGACACTTTCAGTATCATTATTCTTCTTCAGATGGGTTTTACTATCAAATATGCATCAAAACTTGTCATTGTTTAGAAAAGTAGGAGCAGTAGAGTAGGTTTACAGCAGAATCGTAGGTGAGCCGGTGTGCTCGAGCTGCAGGTGCATGCAGAGAAGCGTCATAAATTCCCACATTTTTTGAAGAAGCAGCGTTTAAGGCAAGAACAGGGTTATTTTAATGGTAATAAAATACAGAAAAAATGATAGATGAGTTTTAGCTGTTTGATCAACGGGCTTTAAATGTATTTTTTTAAGCAGATGTAAGTGTTTTATTATGCTGCAAGGTGGCTCAGTGGTTAGCATCATCGCCTTGCAGCAAGAAGGTCGCCAGTGAGGACACGCGGGATCTTTCTGAATGGAGTTTGCTTGTTCTCCCCGTGCAGCGTGGGTTCTCTCCGGGTTCTCCGGCTTCCTCCCACACAGTCCAGAAACATGTTGAGGTTAATTGGTGATTCTAAATTGTCCATAGGTGTGAATGTGAGCGTGCTTGGTTGTCTGTCTCTAAGTGTAGCCCTGTGATAGACTGGTGACCTGTCCAGGGAGTCAGCTGGGATAGACTCCAGCCCCCCGTGACCCTAGTGAGGATTAAGCGGTGTATAGATAATGGATGGATGTGTTTATTATTATAAACCCACAACTATAACTCATCCTGTGGCCACTCATACGTGATGGCTTCTTCCTAAATAACGACATTAGTCTCACTTCATACTAGATGTTAAAGTTCTCAGCAGAAGCCCTTAAAGCTGCTTGAGTTCTGAACAACTTATTAATATTGAACAAATGAGTCAGAGTTAATAATGGAAAGTGAAACTGAGACCAAAAAACTCCCTTAGAAGAATATTTCTCCGTTTGATTCACATCAGTGGACAGTGCAACGTGAGAAAGACAGAATCAGCAGACAGTCGTGCCAACCTTTGGAGAACCTGAACGTAGAGGGGCAGTCGCCTAACAGGTTGGGCTTGAACGAACGTGGAACCGTCTCCCTGAAGTTGTAGACTTTGACGCTGCCTGAGAAGAGACCGGCCCGATCAGTCGTCATCGTTCGAGAGGAATCAAATCTCAAGAAGCCCAGATGACAGCAGAGGACCCACCTGTTTTATTCCTGATGGTTACTATGGAGCCTCCTCCGATGCCCATGCTCTGAGGATTGACCAGGGATGTGCACAGAAGAGCTGCAATGGCGCCATCTACTGCCGACCCCCCTTGCTGGAGCATGTTCCTGTAAAACATTTTCACCGCTTTTATGGGAAATGTGTGAACACAGACTCAGTCATTGGCTACTCACCGCATATTTGGCCCCATGCAGACACACAGATGCACATTTTTTAATACTTGGATTAGCCCTCGAGGTTCATTTTTCTTTTTTTTTTTTTCATGGTGTGTCAAAATTCTGCGAGTGCTGCCAAGACAAGAGGCAAGTTTAAACCATGCGCTGATGCTCGAGGTTGACTTCAGGCAACATATCAGGAAGTCACAGGCCACGGTGGTGCTTTTTATTAAAAACAATTAATCATGTGGTGAACTTTCATATTGGTCATTTGTTCCAATTAGTTTGCCCAAACATAATTAAACCACTCAAAAGAACACGTAAGCCGCAAGTCTGAAATGTCTCTGTAAGCCCTGAATGGGTCTTTTCACCGAGAGGCTGGCAGCGGATCAGATGTGTTCACTGAGCGACAGGAGAAGCCAGTGTTGGGAATGTTTTTGGCTCAAGTAAGGTCAGACAAGCTTAAAGACTTCACAGGGTTTAACAAAAGGAGGAGGTGGGGAGGGGGAAAGTATCAGGAGGCCGATTGACAGACAAATCTAATCAGAAGAATCTCAAAAGGTCGGGTAAAAAATGTTTGGAGAAGCTGGGGATTATGTGCAGATGGGATTATAGCAGAAGGAGAAAAGAAGAAAATGAGCTTGAATGCAACAAGTTAAGCATCTGAAACTGGTTAGGAAAGTGAAGCAGTGCATGAGAAAATGGGAATTAAAGCCAAATGCCAGTTGATTGCTCAGTTTTCAGGTAGTTTTGTCGCCACATACGGGAAATAAAAAGACAAAAATCTGCTGTTAACTCTGCACTTCTGCCTTATTTTGCATTTAGTTAAATCTTCTGCACTATAAACTATTGATTTCTGTCCAGATTTCAGAGCGTGTGATTAAGTTGGAGGACTTGATTTTGCTTTAAACTCTCAGGTTTAAGAGATCAATCATCATCTGTGGTGGCATCCTCACAGGTCTCGTGTCAAAGTCAAAGGAATGAACACGATCAGCAGCTTCACTCATCCGCAGGTCGAGACGTCTCCCTGAAAGTTTACCGTCGCCTCAGTTTATCTCTGTGTCACTACAGTCTGACCTGCTCATTGTCCCAGCTCTGAACTGGGAAGTGACCCCCCCCCCCCCCCCCCC